ATATTAATTCCAATTAAAATTAGCCTTGGTATCACAGAACTTATCAATATTAAGTTATATATACCAATGTATATTTTTATATGCAGAAATAGTGGGTGGCCAATATTTACTGTAGAATAACCATAGCTAATTTCGAAATATTTTATCCGCTGAAAGTTTTTTGGCCCGTGCACAATATATCGATGGTATAGCTCACAGATGTGGTAAGTACGTTTTTATTGAAAATTGAGTTAAGTACACAGAGTTTGCTCTTGTAACTTATATTTTATTGTGCACAAATGTGGTGAGCGTATGTTGGTCCGGTTATGATCTACTAATGTACTAAGTGTGATAAATTCACTACAAATTAAAATGTTGTAGCAGTCAATTGTTGCATGTGCCCTTACCTCATTCGGCTTTCACAAGCAATTTACAACTTAATTGTACAAATGTGATATGTGGCACTTTGCATGTTTTGACACCTAAACTGGCAACCCTGACGTTCTGTCATAATTTTTTAAATTTGTATAATCTTATTGAGTTTAATAATGCAACAGATTAATGCTATGCTTCCAAGATTTACTGCAGCACTCGAGAGACGCCAGTTAACTTAAATTGACAATTAAATCTCTGTCTCTTATTTATGTCTAGTCTATACTAATAATTATAAAAAGGAAAGATTTGTATGTATGTACTTCTTTTTCTTCTGGTGCCTCTCCGTTACCGGAGGTTGGCCGTTAACTTTGTGTACTCCTCTCGGTTCTGCGCCAAACGGAAGAGCTCCCCTGCATTGGCGATCCCGGTCCACTGTCGGATGTTTCGGAGCCATGACTTTTTACGCCTTCCAACGCGTCGTTTCCCTTCAATTTTGCCCATCATTATCAATTGCAATAAGTCGTATCGTTCGTGTCTCAGCACATGACCCAGGTATGCAACTTTACGACGTTTGATCACCTGTAGCAGTTGTCGAGCTTTACCGACGCGTTGTAATACTATATCGTTCGAGATCTTGTGCGTCTAAGATATTCGGAGCATACGTCTATAACACCACATCTCGAAAGCTTCAAGGCGTTTCTTGGTGTCCTCTTTGATGGTCCATGCTTCGCATCCATATAATACCAAAGGCCAAACGTAACACAGAAGGATCCGAACTCTAAGTCTGATGTTAATACTCCGACAACATAAAACCTTTTTCATTTTGCTGAAGGATGCTCGAGCGATTTCTATCCGGCATTTTATTTCTTGATCGGAATGCCATTCTTCATTGACCCAAGCACCAAGGTATTTATATTGTCGGACCCGCTCTAAGGTCTTATTTCCGATACAGATGTTGGCGACTGGATTTGACCTAGACACAACCATGAACTTAGATTTCTTGATGTTCATTGAAAGTCCAGCACGCTCACTGTGATCTTTGACTTTGTCGACAATCACTTGCAAGTCGTTTTCGGAGGAAGCTATAAGGACAGTGTCATCAGCGTAACGTAGATTATTGATGATCTTTCCATTGACCTTTACACCAAAATCCAGGTTTTCCAGCGCTGCGGACATGATCGCCTCCGAATACAGATTGAACAACAATGGTGACAGGATACACCCTTGACGAACACCGCGCTGTATTTCCACATCATCGGTCTGACTATGCCCAAGACGCACATGTGCTCTCTGGTTCCAGTAAAGATTTTGGATGATTCTTACATCTTTACCATCCAGTCCAGCACCTTTCATGTGCTGTATTAGTACCTCGTGTTTAACACGGTCAAAAGCCTTTTCGTAATCAATAAAACACATGTAGATATCGGTCTGCATGTCCAAACATTTTTGCGTCAAAACATTTAAGGCAAAAAGAGCTTCCCTAGTTCCTACGCCTGCTCGAAAGCCAAATTGGCATTCACCCAGTTGCTCGTCAATTTTAGGTCTTATTCTGTTGTGAATGATAGATAAAAAGATTTTAAGTACATGGCTCATGAGGCTGATAGTACGATACTCGTTGCATTTCTTCGCGTTTCGCTTTTTAGGCAGCGCAATGTAAGTCGACTTTAACCAGTCGTGAGGAAGGTTACCAGTATCATAAATTTGGTTAAAAAGTCTTACTAGAGCCTCAGTATAGTCATCCTCCAACAGTTTAAGTACTTCAGCTGGAATATTATCAGGTCCAGGTGATTTACCTGATTTTGCTGCTTTCAGTGCATGTATAACTTCTGATTTCAATATGGGCGGGCCCGTGATGTCTGAAATAGGACTCATGCTTTGTCTTGAAGTGTCTTCAAATAATGAAGCGATATACTTACTCCAGACTTGCTTTTTACTCTCTAGGTCCAATATAATACTGCCTGCGTCATCTGTTAGCAAGGATGTCACGTTTCTTTTAAGTCCTGCCATCTCCTTAATCTGCTTATGTAAGTTGAAAGAATCATGCTTACGTTCCAGCTCTTCCATGATTCGACATTTTTCTGAATAATGGGAGTCTCTAGCCCGCTTAACTTCAGCACGTATCAGACAATCCAGTTCTTTGTACTTCACAGGATCTACATGTTTACAAAGCCTGCGTCTTTCCATAAGATCCAGAATATGGTCTGTCATCCATTTTTGTACTTTAGCTTCACGTGATGTACTGAATTAACTCAAAAACTACTGTAGCGATTTCGAAAATTCTTTTTTAGAATGCTACAGTATCCCTGATTAACATAGGCTATATTTTGTCCCGATATTCCCACAGGAATGGGTACCACGCGGGTGATCCGCTAGTATAAAATAAATAGGAAAGATATTTAATTGCCAATTAAATTTAACTGGCGTCTTTGAGTGCGGCAGTTTGACTGGAAAAAAAAATAGAATTAAATAATTTTTAATACATTATAAAAAGGTTTTTCTTTTTTCTAAAAACCTAATATCAAAAGCAGTCAAATGTGGTATGTACAATAAAGAAGTACACAGAAGGGGTAAGTGCACACCCATAGGTAATTAATTCAAACTTAATCATTCAAATTTTATTTTAATTCCTCTAGTTACATATATTATGTTAGCCAATGAACTTGTTTACAGGTACATCTAAATATAGCCGCTACAACTATTAACGCCTAAATATACCAGATATCCAAACTTTAAAAACGCTATTGTGTAAAAGTTACTTTATTGCACATACCACATCTGTGAGCTATACCATCGATATAGTATAATAAACAAGCTTGTGCCCCCGACTTCCCCTTAGTTTCGCTTTATTTTTTCCGTAACAACCAACGATAACAAAATCACGTGAAGGATATCCCCATTCTGTTCCTCAAAAAAAGTCCAGTAAATTAAGCGAAGTAAGGGAAAGCGGATTTACCGCACGAATTGGAGCGCCTGTCTGGGGAAGCAACCTCCACCTTACAGGAGACCGTAAAAACACTGTCTTTTTGGTGTGTGTGTCTACTGGCAGAGTTGGGCAAAATTTATTCGAATGACGAATAACGAATGAATAAATTGCTATTGCGTTCATTCACAAATAATATATTATTTCTTTTATTCAAAGGAAAATTATTCGAATGACGAATAAATTATTCTATTCGTTAGTCGGTTAATGAATAAAAATAAAACAAGGTACAATGGCATTTAAATCAAATATTTATTTGCTTTCAATTATCATTTATTTACAGTTATGATTATTTCTCAATATTCGTTTTCATCACTACTCTTTCTTCAAACATGTTGTCAGATAATCTGCTTAAAAAAATAAAAATAGCAATGGCATTTAAATCAAATATTTATTTGCTTTCAATTATCATGTATTTACAGTTATGATTATTCCTTAATATTCTTTTTATCACTACTTTTCCTTCAAACATGTTGTCAGACAATCTGCTTAAAATATTAATAAATTGAAAAATTCGTGTTTTTCTGCCGATAACTAAGATTCATGTCCCTGTAGCATGAACACTACAATTAACATTATATCACGTTTTTTATCGCGTCTAACTGTCAAACTCCATAGTTATTTGACAATTGAGCGTGATAAAAACGCGTTTATATCAAATCGGGTTGCTCATGCTTGGAAGCCAGGAACTCTTCTAGCTCTTCCCAAAATAATACTCGCGCCGTTGACTACCCTGACCTGATCTCCTACCTTACTTACTGCCAGAAACACAACAAAACCAAAAGGTAAAAAAAACTAAAAAGCTATGCTAACTATATGCTTGGCGCCCGCCTCCCACAAAAAGATATACATTATAGTGCAGCGTAGTTTAATGTCTTTGCTACAGAGATACACAATTTTCAGATGACACAATTTAAAACAAACACTTGAAACAATTGCCGTAGTTAATCTAACAAGATCCTTTCTTTGACGCTTTCATTGTAAAGTACTCATCAGATTAAACTACATACACCTATCATTAATTAGGCAATTTCAGTTTATCTCTATTGCCGAACTAACAAAAGCTGAATTATAACGAAAATGCCTATATAGTCCTGTGTTAGTCATCTGTTTTTATTGGTCTTTATCTAAGTTTATCTAATGTGACAATGGATCACCATATACTAACGCAATAGAATCTGTTTTGTAATAACAAAAAGGCTACTTTATTGACACCAACAGTACAGTTCACCCTGTAAGCTATTCCCTGCATTCATCAACATTATACATACGTACACCACAAAACTGACGTCATGCTAGCGTAATAAAATGACAAAGAATGAATCCCCCCGTTCTGCTCAATAAATAAGCTACCCAGTATCAAAAAGAAATGACCTCCGTCGTTCCAGTCGGCTACTTCTATAAGGTTGCGCGGTAATAATTTGATCCAACTAATTAACAGATTGATAACGTCCGATTGTGTCTGTCACTCGGGCGTCGTATCGCATTGTCAAAGGCAGCAGCGGTACCAATTTCCTTGCTCGCTTTCAGCGTTCAGTGAGCAAAAAGTTGGTTTAGCTCACGTCATCGCATGCCTGATGCGCGTGCGCTGTGGCTATCCTTCCCCCGCGGCCCGCGCGCACCTCTATATTAACGAGTTGCGGCTCGACCAACACAACGCCAGTCGGCCGACGAACGGCCTCCTAGAAACCTCGACCTCGCATCCCTCGCTATGCATCCCCTAACGTCAACTTACGTTGGAGCTACCAACGTCACGTAGCTTCACGTATTTTTAAAGTAGTTCCTTTAGTTTTTAGTAAGCTTCTTGTGTTTTCCTCTCTTTCTTTCTCTGTTGATCTTAACATGGTGTCTCGCACCCGCGGCGCGCACGTGCTCGTCTGGGACCAGCCTGGCTTGGAGGACCAGCGGCAAAGAAACCATGGCGGTGAGTGACGTCATTCTTACCGCGCTGGCAAGCTTATCCATTAAAATTGGGTCAACTTGATGACGTAGTGGATCTGTTTACGGTCGTAAATATCGACGCCGGTTCACTTCAGAGGGAGAAATGTTGACAAAAAGTATCAATATTGCAACCTGATCGATTGTTGTTAAGTAAACTTTATTTGTGTTTTGTACATTTGGGAAGTTTTCGGGATCGTATTACTTACCTACTTATATGATTTTTCCTTGTTTGTGTACTACGTATTTAAAAACATCAAAGGTATTTTACGATAACTTCTATAGTTGCTAACAAAAATTTAATATAACAAAATATTGCTTTCAGAATGAAAAGTAAAAGAAAGTGTTCCATCTCGACTTACAGAATTCTGGAGTTTCCTATTTTTACGAAAATAGGCATACTTATTCAAAATTTTCGCTTTTTCATTAATTGGCAAGCAGTTTAGGAGTAGAATAATTATTTAATATTAATTTATATTAACTTAAAGATCACGACAGGCTTTATTACAGGAGAGGTAATTGTTTCACAAGTTCGTTCAAAAATCTTAAAAAATATAATATACTTAGTACTTGGTTCTTAGGTTTTCACGCACATCGCTCATTAAATAAAACAAGTTTCAACTGTATCTATTGGCCGTTGAAACTTGTTTTATTTAAATAAAGTACTGTCCCTTGCAAAGAAAGTGACTTATCTCTGTAGTAACATGATCTTGAAGACCAGTATCAAAATAAAAATAGGCCAAGTAGCACCATTTGAAATTCAGTGTACCTATATGCTAATCCATCCGCACTTATTAATTATGAAGTGAATTTAATTGAATTAAATTCATTAACAATAGATTTATAATTTCATTTTTTCTTTCATTAATAAAATTAATATTTTTTCAACTAGTCAGTTATAACCATTAGTGATGTAACGAATATCAATTTGTGAACATTCGCGAATGCGAGTATTTGGTACCGAAATTCCCGAATGCGAAATTTATTTTTGTTCAAAATTTTCGCCACTATGGCATGGTGGCAGTCTCGTTCGAATTGCCGAGTTGATATGAACTCATCCTTTACTTTCACTCTACTCATCATTTTCTCTACCAGTACTTTCTTGAGTCCCTACAAATATTGAAGACAATAAAAATCGATCGAAATTCAAAACGATAGTCTAAAGATGGATCCACGCGTCGTATTATGGCAAAACCATCGGATGGTCAGTGTTGCCAGATCCAAGAATCTCGTCATCCAAGGCCGCGTCTCGCCACAATGGTTTTGTTGTCAGCAGCCACTGCAGCCAGTCATACTGTCTGGGCGTGATCCTGTTTTTTGTTCGGCGATCCATGCTAGTCGAATAATCTCTAGGTTTTCAGCAGTTTTTGTTGGCATTGAGTTTCTTCGGTAAGCTTAGCATTTTTAATAAAAAAGAAACATAATAAAAAAATATTTGATCTATGGAGGAGATCTGATAAAAGCTTTATTTTTAAACCGGTCAAGTGCGTGTCGTGCCGAAATCCTTTTCGTAGTTTTCTGTCGTTAGCACAATATATTTGAGCAGGGGTCTTTATTTTCTGTATCGGAAATTATAAAAATCTATTTGTGAATAGATTTTTTTAGATTTTGTTTTTCAATGCAAGGTTTTACGCTACAATAACTTCATCTATGTCACTATTAGTGTTTTTTTTTTCTAAGGAATTTCAAAAGTTAAGAAATTTTCTTTAACCAAAGTTGAACGACTATTACTCTTAAACTAACAAATCTATCTTAACCGTTATAACTTTTGTTAAAAGTTCATGAAAAGCACTATTAGGTATCATGATTTTTTTAGGTTTTTTCAAGCCAATAGTTTAGCTTTTGGAGGCTTTTATCTCTCATTATTCTTCATTATTCTTTAGACTCTACGCCATGAACCATATTGAAAGAAGCAGACCCACTTTTATCAGAACTCAATAATATACAAACATATAACTATAACGGTTTCTTCTTGTCTGGTTTCTGAGATAAGCTCACTCTAGCATTTGCGACTTCTTACCAACTTCAGCTTGGAAAATCGAAATAAGTAAATTCCAAAATAAGAAAATAAATGCGTTTAAAATTATGAAACCACGATGTAAGTGAAACTTTAAAGTGTTTTACATCGTCTCTATTTTTTTTCCACGACTGGGAATCGAATCTGGGCCGCCCGCGTGGCAGACGAGCTTTTTACTGTACCACCGAGGTCTGGTAATAAGGTCTGAACTTTTGGGTCCAGCCGTTACGCACCCATTCCGTGACGCCCCCTTCCGGAGCAGCGTACCCACAGTGCACCTACAATGCATTCTTTCACTGGGGGTGCCTCCCCGTCTGGGCGCTTCGCGGAATGGGTGCTTAACGGCCGGACCCGATTTTTTTAATATCAATTAAAATTGTAATGCGACGTGCTAAAGATAAACGAAAAAAATTTAGGCGATGATAAAAAAGTTTCACTTAGAAAAGTTTTTTACAATGACATGTTCATTGAACTCATAGCCGGCAGCCCTGTGGGCGTCAAATTCTTATTAGTTACATAATGCGCAAGCGTCACTGGATAAGTAGGTACACAAGACATTACTCATTACTGTACAAAACGTAGAGAAAATGTACGTCATGTCGTCTACCGATTTAACGTCAACTCTGTCTGACTCTACTTCATAATTATAAATGGAATTTCACCTAACGATTACCACTTTTTAACTGACAAATAGGACATTGATATTCTCAGTTTATATAAAAGTTATTATTATGTCATTGCAATAAAGAAGTACCCAATGAATTTACCCAACTATACTTCATTAATGAACATGAAAATTTTCAATTTCATCAACAAAAAGCTTTTTTTGAAGACTTCAAAAACACTTCTTTATTTCAAAATATTAGTTTCCAAAAAGTTCATAAAACCTATTTTCATAAAGCTTTTTAGTAAATTTTTGAGGTTCTTCTATAATGCAGTCACGCGACATTATAAGCTCACCCCAATTAACTATAATATCATTGGTTCACCCTTTTTTTAAAACCTTTTACTTGAATTAAAAAATATTTTTTTCTTTCTCAATGAACACAACTAACAATATGTTTCCAGTAACATTATTTGTAAGCAAATCAAATGTTCACATGAAACCATTGCAATGAGGAGCGAAGCATTTTAAATGCAACCTAGTTAATAGCGTCCATCAAGAATTGAAGAACATTTTATTCATCTCAGATTACTATATTTTGAAGCATTTAACTGCTGGATAGAAAAAAATACTCCAGATTTATTTTTCTTCTTTAAATGTTTTTATTGTGATGAATTCAGGTAGCGTTTATCTATCAAGGGAGATAAGTATTCGTTTTCTCTAAAAAATCTAACACAGAAATGCGAAGGTGGATAGATACAATACCAACAATCAAAAGGCGAATCGAAGTGTTCCGAGTCTTTCTTCAATCTCATGAAATTAATTCACTTTCAAATGTGGAAATGCTTGCGCAACTTATTTATTTTCACTATAATGTCTGGAAGAAAATCTCATGGCATTTGCGAGTAGTTAAGTTTTCAGTCAGTATTATTTTTCTTAGGTTAGGTATACCTACTTGCTTCTTATTAAGCCGCATGTTGGCCGAGCTTAACCGAGCGTAGGCAAGCAAACTGATACAAGGCAACTGCTACCGTCTAGAGTCCAGATAGGGACTATAAGATTTCAGTAAATATTATGTACCTAGTAACGAAGACTCTAGACCAGGGGATGACGACTTGATTAGATTCAAGATCTACTGTATTCTGTCGAAACCCTACTATGCGATCTGCCAATTACATACTTCTTGAAATCTTAAGTGGAACAGCAAAATATATTGAACGCAGTTGTTCAACACATCTTTTGAAATTTGGATATTTCTCGTTGGAAACCAATGCCCAGAAATCTAGACCAGAGGATTTCTAAAAACAAAGTGCTTCTAGAAATAGGTCCCAGCGCAAAGTCATTATAACATGTGGTCTATTTATAATGTATCTGCAAATTTTGTAGCCATTTCGTAGATATCAGTATAGAAGAGAGGATAAGGAAGATGCGTGCAGCAGTTGGTGATTACGTTGCGCAGTCTGTTCTACTTATTTATATTTATTGCGTTGCCACGATCGACTGTTTGGCCACTCCTGTTCTAGACGTTATTAAGGTATAAAATATTAACTGAAATCCTACATTGCCTACACTGTTTTATATTGAAATAAATTATGTGTCGACAGACTTCTCTTTCCCAGTGGGCACTTTAGGCAAGTGCCCAGGGCCCCGCAATCGATAGGGGCCCACTTCAGATCAAATACAAAGTCCCTAGTTCCTGTTAGATCACCAAACGGGGGTCATAGGGGCCCCATTATCCTAATATGCCCAGGGTCTCCAATACGTCAAACACGGCACTGTGTGTCAATGTCTTTTTAAAATTATTAAAAAAAAACTGTTGTATATGTAGGTAGAACCTAACCTATACTTATAAAATAACGCTTGAAACGTTAATTTGTAACCTGGTGAAAGATTTTAGTTGAAATTCTAAAATAGAATTGAGACAAACTTTTACTAGGTAACTCACGTGATGAATGACCGAAAAGTAGATTTACGTAAAATTTTGCGAGACACACGATAATGTTTAACGCAAGTTTCTATGTTGCCAATTCCTATTTAGTTTGGCTGTGTTTAGAGTAATCTCCTGCCAAAGTTTTATAGCGTAAAGTCATATATAAGAAGGTAAATTTTAACAACAGATACGTATTACTCAATAAGAACTGAATACATGACCATACCCTTATTTTACTGTTTTAATTTCCAAATAAATGGGTTAAATATTATTTCTTCGATTATATATTCGCCTCTATGAAAGTGGATTTTATATTTTCTTTGGTTCATAAATGTAACGATATTTGATATTTCTCAGCTTTTAACTTCTCTATTAGTTCCACATAAGCAAATTATCGATGATAATAAGATGTTTAAATTTTAGGGCATTATGGGGCAATGCCCTACCTTAAGGTTGGGCCCTTCGTAGCGTGCTGCCCCGTTTGAAAACGGGACTGAAGGCTACGAAAAGCAGTATGCCCCTGTTTATGCCCTTCCTGTTATTACCGCTGCTCTATCTTAAAAACAACTCTAGCTACGGCTACGGCCCTGATGTAACCCACGAGAACGAAACCGCGTGCGGAAAGCTAATAGTTATTGCTTAATGAATAAAAGTACAGAACACAATCTAGGCTCTATTCAAATGATTTATTAATGGAATTTACGTGTATTGTCATCACCATGAGCTTACGCTTACGAAGCAATTGAGATATTATCAGAGATAGACATTGTTGTACCGATAAATCTAACAGCATTTATATCGTAGAGGAAGTAGGTACTAATAAAATTACACGGCTCCACACAATAGACCAAGCAAATAAGAAGGCTCGAAATGCATGTAATCTGATTTTACGCAATCCCAGCTGCAGCGCGTGAACATAACTTTTGGAAGCGAAATAACCGCATTTTTCCGGTTTCTTATTTTTGCTTTCAGCTATGCCGCTGAACTGTATTGAAAGTTTCAGTAATACATTCAGAATTTAATCTTCTTTAACATTAAATATAATACAATTTACCGGCGGACTTACCGTTTTCGAGCTACAAGCAAAATACTGAAAAAAAGAGCAGGAATTTCACTGCGCGCATGCGGTTATTTGACTTGTAAAAGTTATGCTCACCTTTATGCGATTGCGCAAACACGGATCAAACGCATTTAGGATTAAGTGAAGGTAGTAAAACGATTAGCAGCTTGCTGGAAATTAATACTTCGAGAAAATCGAATTTGCTTGGTCTACAAGTACTTACTAATAGCTTAGACAAATATTTGTGGAATTTTTTACTTCACTAGTATATTCGCAGGAGGCTTTGCGATGATGGGACTTCTACTAACAAATGAACGTAATCAAACAAAACGAAATAACTAGAGGCGTATCAAATCCATTTTGATTAGTCAGACGATTTTTGTTAACATCCTTTCACTTTTTTACTGTGGAGGAGAGGAGGAGAAAGATATGTCACACCATTATTATTAATGGTGTGACATATCTTATGGTGATGATGGTAGTGGTACCTAAGTGTATGGTAAATATGCTATGCATATCAACTCATGATAAATAAAACTTAAAAAAATGTATTGATCAATCGCAATACTCTGTAATAATAATAAGTCACTCTTCTTGTGCCCGTTCTTCTTATCAGCTAAAAGATGTCCTGAGGTAAAAAAATATAGACGATTTAAAAGAACTTTCTAATACCTAAGTCAATTTGAATAAATTACATTTTCATTTCCGCGTTTGGTCCTAGCTGCACCTGTAGTCTGTAGTCGTTAGCACCCACCAACCCGCTTTGGGCCCGCGTGGTGGATTATGGCCCAATCTCCCTATTTCATCCATAGGAAAGGCCTGTGTCTAGGGTTGCCAACCCTACTATATAATATCGTATCCTACTATATTAGGGGATCGATTACTATATTTAAAAAAAATGTAGTAGGCGAAACTGTATATATTTTGCTTAGAGCAGACTTTTGCCAGTAAAAGTTTTCTTAAAAATAAAAACTGAATTATTAGGGGTAGAGCAGCAAAAAAATATTCATTTAAAAAAAAGTTAATATTTTAACCACATACTATGTTCTTTTCCATTTTTTTAACTATTCGAAAATACTATATTTGATAGAAAATAGCAGGTAACCCTACCTGTGCCTAGCAGTGGGGGCATTAACGGGCTGGTGATGATGATGATATTTTCATTTAAATTCACTCCAGAATCTTTCTCCATTGTCATTGTCACATCACACTAAACATCACCCTCTCGTTTCCAGGTGGCATGGGCCATCGTCACTTCGTCACATTCATGCTGTTCCTGGGCATGGCGAACGCGTACGTGATGCGCACCAACATGTCCGTCGCTATCGTCGCCATGGTGAACCACACGGCGTTGCCGGTCGTTGCCGAAGCGATGGACACAGAGTGCGGAGAAGTCTCCAATCAAACCCATGTGAGTGCAAGAAAGTCAAAATAGTTGTAAAGATATGAACGGCTGCATGTGCTGCGAGGGGCGGCTGTAAGAGCTGCGCGACAGAAACCATATAAAAGGCGTTTGTCACAGCGCTATAGTTTGATTTGATTTACTAATTATAGATATAGAGGTGGGTGGGAGGTGGGATGCAACTCGTAAGTGGCCTGGGGCGCCATTTTAGTAAATACGCCCTTGGGTGCAATAATATTATATACCTATATATACTTTACATAAATAATTATTTCGAACACTCACACTAATTAGCCTAGCCCCAAAATTTACCAATACATAGAAGCCCCCAAACAACCCACTAAAACTTGCGTTAAGTTAGTGAAATAGATTTCACTTTATAAAACCTTATAAAACACCGTATATACTCGTAGTTTACACGTTTGTTGGGCGCCACGTCAACAATAACAAGAACATTCTCATATTTTGCAGCATGCATCTTCTCAAGACGGCTCATTCGTGTGGAGTTCAACCCTGCAGGGTTACATCTTGTCATCCTTCTTCTACGGCTACGTCATAACACAAATTCCCTTTGGGATATTATCTAAGAGGTAATTTTTAAATATTGGGTTTAACTTTTATTACTTTCCAGCAAGGCAGCCAGGCCGAGCTGATAAGTATCTTTCAGTAAACATTTTCATTAATATGCATTGATGGGTGCTAAGTGCTAACGATGCAGATGCAACCGGGACCAACGGTTTAACGTGCCTTTCGAAGTACGGAGGAGCTCGAGATAAAAAAATTTGGTCACTTCCACGATCGCAGACCGAATACTCTGAAACGCACGTGCTCAATCGAGCTCCTTAATTATTACTCGTTATAATTTTAACGGTGGGTCTCATAAGAAGGCCTAAGGTCACACAGTGAGCGATGCTCGGTATTTCCCTACGCGATAGAATCTCGAAATGAGGGAATCCGTAGGAGAACCAATGTAACCGATATCGCTCGTAGGATTACTCTGCTGAAGTGGCAGTTGGCGGGACACGGAGCAAAAAGAACCGATGGCCGTTGGGGCGGAAAGGTTCTGGAATGGCGACCACGCACTCCCTAAGAGGTGGACCGACGATCTTGTGAGGGTCGCGGGAAGCCGATACATGCGAGTGGCGCAGGACCTATCAGCAGTGGCGGCGCTAGGCGTCGGCGACGTCGGCCACCGCCGACGGCCTCGCGCCTGAGGGGGCCTCGCAAAAATTTTTTACAAGTTACCTATTTATTTTCGTTTCTCCTGGCCTGGCTTAGAAAGCCGTAGCCAGAGTTGTAATATAAATGTCTATCTAAGATCAATGTAACAACATGGTGCAATAAAGGATTTGAAGTTTGGCATTGTCCCATAATGCATAAGAGGGCCCAAGCTATGGCCCTGGTTTGCTTTTGCGTAAGCAATATAACTTTGCCTCCCGTCCGTTTTTATTGTTGGACAAGCCTACGAACTTCGCCCCGTTAAACTTTAGTATCTTCAACTTTTCAATTTTTTTCCGTAAGAACTTTCTGCATAGTAATATTAGAAAACTTATAACAAAAAATGGATGTAATCGGTAGTAGTTCTTAAGTTATGGTGTGATCAAGGAAAACAGGGATTTATTTTTATTTAAGTATATTATTTTATGTAAGTATAGTACTTATAAAGATCAGGGCCAGACGTGTAGAGGCCCTGGGGCAACGAAAGAGTGCGGGGCCCAAAAACTGGCCAACTAACGACATCTCTGTTGTGGCCCTGGCCCACAGCCCCGCCTGTCCCCGCCCCCAACTTAAACTCGGCCCTGATAAAGATTCATATTGATTTTTCCAGATATGGTGCCCGTTACTTCCTGGGCGTGGGTATGCTGATCAACTCAGTGTTCGGGCTGCTGGTGCCGGTGGCGGCGAATGCGGGCTACCAGTGGCTCATCTTCGTACGGTTCATACAGGGTCTTGGAGAGGTAAGCTTTAAGGAGTTCGTTAATATTCTTTATATTGAATTGAAAGCTTAACATTTTATCCAACCGCACAAGTAACTAGAAGTTCTAAAATTTATGCAGTAGGATAAGAAACACGTAGGAAAACTCGTTTGCTTTCTACAAACAGTCATGATTAAGTAGTAAGATGAAGAATACATGACCAGGCCAGCTTTTTGATGCGAGCTCCTGTTTTGCTCATTCTCTTTTATCGGGTATTTATTTACCGTAAAGTCTTTGTTTTGACTTTTTTCAGGGTCCTATCGTACCATGCTCACACGCGATGTTGGCTAAATGGATTCCTCCTAACGAAAGGAGTAGAATGGGAGCGGCCGTCTATGCTGGTAAGGATATTTTTAAACCTAAATTTAAATAGTACACTCTGTAAAAGTCTTACTGTTCCGTATAATGAGCGAAAAGGGAAAATATCACTATCAGCTATATACCTAATGGTCCCCGCTACTGGGCCACAGGCTGAGGCGGCGTAAGGCGTGGGCGACGTGGGCCACCGCCTACGGCCTCGCGGTACAAGGGGCCTCGCGCCTCAAAAATTTTTCTGCATTGCTTAAAAACGAATTTCTTTTTTTTTATTATTTTATTAAATCCGTCTTCAGGTCGCCACAGAACAGGGCCTCACGAAATCTGTCTTGCCCACATCAAATTTAGGTGTTGCCCCGCCACTGGCCACAGGCAACAAATAAGGCTACAGGCCTTCCTTAGCGGTGTGCTAGCACAGGCGTAGCCCGATTTAGAGACGATTTGCAACTCTTACTGCCAGCTTACTGCTAATTTTACCAAGCAGATAATAAAAGTCTAAACACGTCTATTCCTTGCGCGTAGTGTGAATGTGTCTACAAATCCCATCAACCTGAATAAATGCGCGGAACAGGCGTCGCACAAAATACATAGTGTGTTTCGATACTTTATTAATTGATAGATTGACTTTATTTTTGAACAGGTGCTCAATTCGGCACGGTGATATCCATGCCCCTGTCCGGTCTGCTGTCGGAGTACGGCTTCTCGGGCGGTTGGCCGTCCATCTTCTACGTGTTCGGGCTCATTGGCACCGTGTGGTGTCTCGCCTTCCTGTTCCTTGTACACGAGGACCCTGAACACTGCCCTCGTATCACTGAGACCGAGAAAAAGTATATACTCAGCTCGCTGTGGGGAGCAGCAGGCTCAAGCGTGAGTTTTGGAAAATCAAGTTTTTAGTATATCCTTACAATTGTTAGCGGGTACCAATCATTACCTTCATGCTGCTTCGTCTTCCTGCACCAGTTATATGAAGAGCACTGCTTACGTATCTCTGATGCTGAGGAGAAATATATCGTCAGCTCGTTGTGGGGAGCGGCAAGCCCGAGCCGGAATAAAAGGATATCCAGTTTATAGTATACTAGCGGCCCGCTCTCGCTTCGCTTCGGTGTAGAGCTGAAGTGTAGACTACAGTTTTTGTTCTCAGGCTTGTATTATAATACACAATAACATTCATCTATGACTCTTCTTATACCTGCATGCAAAGTCTCAGCCCGATCGGTTTAAAATTGACAAAGTTTCATACAAATTTTCAATCCCTATTTTATCCCCTTCGGGGTAGAATTGATCAAATACCATTACCATTTGCCATTCTATAGACAGAGACAAAACATGGAGGAACTAATCCAAGCGTAGTCTTCGATTGTTAATAAGGGGGTTAGTGTCTAAAAGGCAATGCACAAGGACAAGACAATGTAAGCTTTACAGTAGAGAAAGCCAGAAATATGATAACATTACCATGAGGGACTTTTTAGGCTGTTCTCAAATTGATAACAATATATAATTACTTAACAGTCGCCGCCAATTCCGTGGAGCAAGATCCTGCTGTCGATGCCGTTCTGGGCCATCATGTTGGCCCATATGGGCCAGAACTACGGCTACGAGACGCTCATGACCGAGCTGCCCACCTTCATGAGACAAGTGCTGCACTTCTCCATCAAGGATGTGAGTATAACAATCATCAGAAGGAGCCTATTAATTTTAAGACATAAAAGAAAAGTAGTTCAAAATAAATGATGATAAATAAAAAGTAGCCAAGTAGAAGGACGGGTCCCGCCATTCCCAACAATAATTTGGTACACTAAACTACTGATATTGTTTTTGAAAAGACATTTCACGAATCGTAAATAAGTTCAAGCTTTTTTCAGGTACAGGTAGTCCATCTATAGTTCCAGAGATCTCTAATAGAAATGCAATTAAATGTAATGCTTTATACTAGCAATTAAATCTAATGCTCAGAGATGCCTAGAGCCCTTTTTGTATAGATAGTAGGACCGATATATGACTCCACCCCACCTGATGTTAAGTGACGGTGAAGTCCAGACGTGATATGTCATGGACTGCCAGCTGGTTTGTCTGCATCCTCATAAAGAAAGAGACGCCAACATGTCGAATGGCAAGCAGCCAAAGTACGTCAATGCATACTTCAATCATACATCAGACTAAAAATATTTTATACACCAGTTTTTGTGTGGTAATGATGACGTACATTGCATACAAGACACTTGCATCAGTAGCATCACACTCAAATTCATTTCGAGCAGCAAATCCGCTCTACTTTTCTTAATACATATGTGTGTATCTAAGCCCATTTTTACTTTTCTTAATATGTGTGTACCTTAACTATTTTTGGCGATATGCTAAGACTTTTTGCCAATAATTAGTATCCGAAGTTTACCAATCTGATAGTTTTCTGATTGGTAAAAAAATGTACAGACGCACAGGAAAGTGAACAGCTACATAGTTAGTGCATTTTGTCCATTTATTTCTTTCGCGTTCTTCTTTAAACGTAATTTTAATATTGCGCCTAATATTGGAGAATATTCCGAATGTCGAAGAGAATATTCTGAAGAATAATGAAGAACTTTTAAAAGCCTCCTTGAAAACAAATCTAATTTGACCAATAATGTAAATGGTCCGTGCCTCTGTAAAACACTAGCCAGATCGTTTCGCTTTTGCCAGCTTGATTCTTCTCCAAGCATCTCATAAGCACAAGCTAGTTGTTCGTAAAGGCCAAGTCTTGTACGACCTTCATCAAACACGCTAAAAAGTTCTTAAATCATAACATCCATCCATACGAATGGTTTATGCTGTTCTATTTTTAACACGTGGCCGATATTTTACGGTTGAGCCGAAACATCCCATTAGTCGCGCACGCGACGTGTCGTGTCATTCATCGAGTCGGGTTCACTTCGCACAAGTCGGGGTCAATTGCCTCATCCATCATATTGTTCTTCGTACGAGACCGCACGGCGTCGAATCGGTTGCCGCGTAGAGTTACAACAATTAATGAATTAACGTGACTTCTATCTCAATATATTGGCTCGGCTTACCGTGATTGAGTCATTCGGATATGATCTCGCACTACCCTAAGGCTGTATCTACTCTTATAATCGATATATAATGAACTTCGATGCGCTGTACTACTCTAGTTTTAAAAAAAACTTTGTATCTAAAAAAAATTAACTAGAATAAAATCCACGTGGACCAGGCAGCAGACGGGACTCGAACCCGCACTCTTCGCAAACCGGGAGAATGCACTGACCAATTATGCTACCGCGGCCCTCACGGACCGCGTCGAAATTCCTCTAGCCATTCTTAAGCTGCAAGGCAGCGCCATCTCTTTGCATTATAGGTAACCCACAATGTCAAATGAATACTTTTACAAGTATTAAACATTTGAAAGAAAAAATAGCCATTATAGTTATAATTTTAATTTTTTAAAGCATGTAACTGCTTGATGTTTCAATCTAAAGAAAATATACGTAGGTGCGGGTTCGAGTCCCTTCTGCTGCCTGGTCCGCGTGGAATTTTTCTAGTTATATTTTCTTTAGAATTAAACATCAAGCAGTGACATGCTTTAAAAAAATAAAAATTATAAATACTTTGTACATATATATCACCTTGTACTTATGTCATCCGTCCTACCCTACAGTAGGACAGACGACAGCGCTCTTTGGACGAAGCTTTCACTTCACCTGAATTGATACTTTGGTTTCATGTTAAATACATATTTTATATATCCCTAACATCTTGCTTTGGTTACATATAAAATAGGTCCTGGCCTTTTCACCATCTGGAACTTGAAATCACCACTCGTCGTCTATCGCACGATTCCCAAGGGCCGCAGACATACTTGAAGTTCATTTTCGACGTATAGTTTCTCCTTCTCGGTGTCGTTCATTCTACTCTAATGCCGGCACCACACACGGATATTCGTATTTGCAAAACAAAAAAAAATATTAACAGCAATAGGTATAGGTGGTATAGTATAGGCTCTATCCTCTATAGAAAATGAAAAGGAGACATTGTTATACGCAAATACGAATAGCTGTGTTGTGATAGCTAACATGCATAGATTTTAATGCTATGGAGCAGGACGACATTACGAAAGTTTATTTACGATACATCGAATGTTGGCTTTACCCAGTGTGAAAGATAGATGTTTCTAGGTACCTACTTTTGTGTTGATGTTCCAAATCTAACACTTTCTTGGTCATTGTTCTAGAACGGGTTCGTGTCCGCGTTGCCTTACCTGTGCATGTGGCTGTTCTCCATGTTCATCTCGGTGGTCGCCGACTGGATGCTGTCCAGCAACCGCCTCAACCACACGCAAGTCAGGAAGATCATCAACAGCATCGGTGAGTAGCCCCATACGATATTAACGTGTATGAAGTAATAAAGATGAGTTTCATGACTGATTTCAGATCCTTGCCTTCGTAGCATGAGCATCGCGATATGATTATGGTAAAGTTTTTTATTAACACAGAATTATCAAACTCTATTGTAGTTCATAGTAAATGACGATAAATTGCTTTATCATATCTTTTAGTGGTCAAGTTAGGGGGGCTATTCTTCTTTAATTTGTGGTTTTCTGTCGCCTTAATGCGAAGTTATTCATCATCATAAGCTTATCATATCTATTAGTGTTCCATTTCTGGGGTAATGTAATAGATAGAACGGATCATAAGCCACGACGTATGTCCAATACGGATCGGTGGGTGAAAACGACTGCAGAAGCAGCCGCGACCAACGGATTAATGTGCTCTTCGTATCACGGACTTACGAGATAGTTAATTTTCGGTCTGCAATCCTATGACCATCTTTCTTTATACACAATTCGAGTGGGACTGTTGGATGGTTTATAGCATAAGATTCACAGATAGAGCCACTGGGCGGAGCTACAGTCGGTTTCTAGGATTTTTATCGGAAGTTGTCCTACGACTGTTGCGCCTGCTGGTATCTTAGTAGGTACTGCTTTAATAGTGTCGATTCTGCCATGATTCTCTAAACCTAAACTTGACAACAGTTTATCCTTGTCATTCTACATACAAAATGAACAAGAGAGACTGATCTTAAATTTAGTTTTAAGTTTTGAGAATCATGCCAGAAGCCCAGAATCGACACCATTATCTAACTATATTTATCTATGGTACACTAACAGATGTTTATGTTTCAGGTGAATACGGTCCCGCTATCGGGTTGTTCATCGCGGCCAACACGGGCTGCAACCCCGCCGCCACGGTCGCCATACTGGCCATCGGCGTCGGTCTCAACGGTGGTATCTACTCCGGTTTCAAGGTAAGCAGCTTAACAGCATCATTGATTGATGACGCTTCTGGCATGATTCTCTAAACATAAAATTAAATTTGACAACAATGTAGGTATCCTTGTCATTCGCTATACAGAATAAAAAGGAGAGACTGATGTTAAATTTAGTTTTAATTTTAGAGAATCATGACAGAGTTGCTACCGTTATCAGTTCTTATACAAAAATATAAGGTTACCCTGTGTTATGAGCGGCAGGCTCATCCTCAATATATAAATATAATATTATAAACAATATTCCAATATAATTCTGTGTTCCCAGGTGAATCACTTGGACATATCGCCTCGGTTCGCGGGCATTCTAATGGCGTTCACCAACTGTCTGGCCAACCTCACCGGCCTGTTGGCGCCCATCGTCGCCGGATACATTATAGAGGGCAGGGTGAGTTACAATCGCATACAGCCAAGTAGGCTTTTACGTAGATTCTTCCCCTAAAATAGAGCCACTGATATCAAGCGTTCTTTTGTTAATAGCCATACAGTAGGTGCACCTATATATATCGCGATGCGATGTTCATGCTGCGAAGCATGAGCATCGCATCGCATGGCAAATACGTACCTATCATGTTTTTAACACGCGCCTATCATGTTTTAAAGATTTTCTGGATTGACGGGCGCCAGATGGCAGCACTGAGGCGAAAGGTGTACACATCCGTCAAACCGCGCATGTCGTCACGGTCATAGTCTATGGATCAATTTTATAGGCTCTGTCGATAAATTGGCGGCAAAAACTTCATACAAAACAAGACTTCACGCCACAGTGGTCTAACTAGTGACATGAATTTTCCTAAACACTGTCTTTCGTGCATCCGAATACGGGCTAAAGACCAAATGTTATTGCTCCATCATTATCAAATTACTATGGAGAGGTAGACGTGATGTGAACCAAAGAACGCTTCACACCTGTGTCCCACTCTCAGAATGGCTAAATGAAGATCTAGATAAATAAATGATTTAAAGATTATAATTATTTAGACTAAAAGGAGCATTTAGAGATGAGAATCATTTAATTGACATACCTATTTAGTTATATTTTATTAGGCTGTGTTGTGTTACTAAAGGACTTGGTTCAAATTTGTATGGAAAGTGGAAGTCAGTCTCCGGCATACTTAATTTTTTTATAACATCTAGTGCACTTAATTGTAAATCGTGTCACAAGAAACAATTTTATCTCCGTTTGTTTTAAATAATTATTATAATATTAAATTATATACTTAATTATTATTTTGCAAATGGCAAATTTATTTACAATTTTTTTTTTGCCATAGCATCAAATATTTTCTATTCAATAGGTAACTAAAGAAGTTATAATTATTCTGTTCATATTTCATTTCATTATTCAGTAATTTGTGGGTATTTTATTTTAAAAATAATCAATCATAAACAGTATTATACCTGTTCACCACGATTTCACGAATATCATGGATGATTGGACCAATTGACATTTGCTTGAGTTGACATTTCATTTCATGGTGGCAAACATCCTTACAAATTTGTTAAATGTTTAAACACGATTTAAAATTAATCGCGGATTACTAAAAAAATAAAAGTATCTGTTCATATTATAATATAAAACAAGCTTTCAATTGATATATGTTTCTTCGCTGCCGAAAACTGACTTCCACATTTAAACCGTCTCCTTTTTATTGCAAGTGACAGCATCAATCACTCAATCATTCTAGATTAGAATTAATTCGCAATGAGTTAAGTAAACAAGAAAATCATTATCGCGACATTAGTTCTAACTAACTAAATCTAACTTTTGTATGTCCGCAGCCGACGCAAGCGCAATGGAGGATAGTGTTCTACATAGCGGGCGGAGTTTACATTTTCTGTGCGACGTTCTACAACATATTCGGTTCCGGCAAACGGCAGGAATGGGACAACCCAGCGGACGACGAGGCCAACGCGAAAAAGGCCGCCGACAAGAAGGCCATCAAACAAGAGAAGAAAGCAGCCAAGAACCAGAACCTGGCGGAAACAGCACAATAACATAAATTTAAAAGTTGAAAATGCTCCATAGACACAAATTATTAAGTCTCATTTATCTGTGATTCACATACCTACACTTTTTAAAATGATGTAGGGAAAAGGGCGGGAAAATGAATTTCCGTTTCTGCCTGCAGGCTTTTTTCGAATAATTGTGTCTGTGGAAGCGTTGAACCCCTTAACAGTAAAATTCTTTTTAGGAAATACTGCACAGTGTGCAATTTGGTTACTTTTTAAATTTTGTATGTAGTCTTTATTTTAAATAATCATATTACTCAAGAAACTACATTAATGAAGAACAAGTCAATTCATCCTATGCTTGTATAAAGGTAATTAATCAGTTTTTAACTGGCATTTCATAATGAAAAAAAATGTCTAGATTTTTACTAGATGAAGTTGAATATTGTTAATTGTTATCATGCATAAACAACGCACATCAACCGGGCTGTGATAAAATCAGGTGTAACACAACAATACTTGCGAACTATTATGGGGTCAACTTTTTGACGACTTGTTATTTGAATGTTATTTATTAATTAGTAATTAATTACCATAAAAGTATTGTTTAATTAGTTTTATAGCTTGAGAGCGTAAGACGCGATAAATAGTGAATATTATATTGTTGGGTCCAAAAATTCAAGAAATGTTACCGTCCCAGTCAGTGACCTAAGCAGTAATTTTATAATCCTCGCATAGTGGGTACTTTCAATTTTATAAGAGTAATAGTGCCATTATCAGCATTTGTAATGAAATAGCGTTTGCTGTAACTCGAATAACTACAGTATGTATTTTTTTTAATCATGCGCATATACTAGAAAATACATTTTATGAAAAAGACATTAAAAATTATCGCTCTCAAATGTTAAGCTAAAATGGAAAATGTATTTAAGGTATATTTTGTAATACCTGCGTTCACTAAACAGTGTCATAGACTAAGAGGGTGGAAACTAAAAAATCTATGAATTATGTGAACCTAGAGCTAAAACTGTTGACAAAAATATTTAATCATGTCATAAATCTTACGATGTTTCAAATTTCTTTAGACTATAATTATTACTTTCTAACGTAGTCGCGTTAGCTTATGCGGGACCTTGTTTTTATTCTTTATTATTAATATCCATTAGTCTATGTCAAAGTTAGTGCCAAATAAAAAAATAATGTGTTGTGAATTAATTTCAAAGCCTAGTTTTGTTCGCTCGAAGCGAAGTTGTTGCATAAAGGGCCGATTTTTCAATTCTGAGATAAAATTCATTAGCCGGTAATAATTAATAATCTTATTAAAAAGAAATATTAAACGAAACTTAATAAATGAAAATCTTCATCATCAGCCTATTGATGTCCCGACTGCTGGGGCACAGGCTGTCCTATGGATGGAATAGGGAGATTGGGCCATGACCCACCCCGCGGGTCTGGATTGGCGGGTGCTAACGACTGCAGATGCAGCCAGGACCAACGGCTTAACGTGCCTTCCGAAGCACGGAGGAACTCGAGATAGAAGATTTTTGGTCACCAATCTAATGACCGACCACTGCGTAAGTTGCTTAACTTCAACAATCGCAGCCGAACGCGCTTACCACCTACGCCATCGACATTCTCGAGATTGAATTTAATCTTGTCCACATAACATTGATATCAGACGAATAAGTTTTATTTATCCATTCGAGGATCGAAAAATCAGCCTTAAGATACAATAAAAGCTTGTAAAAAGTCCCTCGAAGTGTGTTTTACTAAGATTATTATTAATCTATGGAAGTTAGTTGTAACATGTGACGTCTTTGGACGCCGCACGCCCAGGAGCTAATGTGATCATTCTGTTTATTTTATACACTACTTATAGAAAAATATCAATGACGTCTTCGTAAAATTTATTGTTAATTTGTGTACCTAAAGTTTAAGATGTTAGTGTGTAGATTTGAGCTTATAACATGATATATTTTTGTTATTCCCTAAACGTTTAACGTGCCTTCCGATTAGTACAAGAGTAAAAAACTATTCAGCGTCGCGTTGAACGCGTCGACAAAGATGTTAATATTTATAAACCTTCATTTTTGTATGAGCTCTAGTATTAAGACAAAAGAGAAATACAAAAGTCTGTTTTGAAAATTGGTTGGTTTTATTTCATAGACAAAATAAAACACAGATTGAAAACAATTTTATATTGTTTAATATCAAAGGCTTTTTTTTTACTTATTCTATAAGTTTGCTGTAGTGGTGCACACCGAAAGCGCCGGTGCCGCTACGGCACGGCTGTCCCAACATAAGACAACTAGAAGCCGAGCGTAAGTTATCTTTCTTTGCGTTAATAATGGCATCTTTCAAAAATATCAGCGAAGATTCAAATGATATTTGTTGAAGTGGGGATGCAGAAGATTCCATACCCTTGCGACTCATTGGTTCAAATACTCCATTGAAAGTCATGTAATCCGCAATCAATGATAAATGTCTCGGATCAACTGTGATGCCGTATACATCGAATACGTTCTGAATTTCCTTTATTATAACTTTATTAGCTGCTTCTATACCATAAGTATTAGCTATGGCGTGAATATCATTGCTGTATAACTTGTTCATATCGAAAAGATGATTATATTTAAACATTTGCAAAATATTAATTCCTTCAGTTTTAATGTACACTTGATTTTTTTCTTCATTAACAATTGCTCTCTTAATATTTTTTACTTCGTGAATTACCGATTTCTTAGCAGCATCCTTTAGAGCTTGTGATAAATCTACTCTCAAAAAATCAATAGGGAATAGCACAGTTAATTGGCACCACTGATAAAGTTTTGTGTCAAATATGTAATTTGTTGCATTATCCAGATTATCTACGACACTAGAATTTACCTTGCTCACTTCAGGTGCTTCTTCAGATTTGTTTGTTTCCCGGTTGTCTTCGTCATTTTCTTTCTCAACTAATTCTAATTCATCATCTGACTTGTCTTCTTCTTCCGATTCTGGGTCTTCATACTCTTGTTCTTCTGATCTTTTCTTTCGAATGTTGGCCTTAAAATAAATATATAAGAATCATATTAGAATGATATCAGAATTAACGGAAATCATAGTTTAACTAAAACTTGTACCTATGTATAGTATAATAATATATATTAACACTCCTATACTTTTTTATAATTTAAGAATTTAACTGCTAGATGTTTAAATCTAAGGAAAATTTTACAAGAAAAAATTCCACGCGGACCAGGCAGCAGCCGGAACTCGAACCCGCACCCTTCGCTATCCGGGTGAATGCATTGACCATTATGCTACCGCGGCCCTGATGGCCGAGTCATTTTTCTCTAGCCTTCCTTAGACTGCAAGGCAGCGCCATCTCTTCGCATTGTAGGTAATCCACAATGTCAAAAAAACACCTTTACAATTTACAAGTAACATTCGAAAGAAGAAATAGCAAGCATAGTCATATTAATTAATTAATTACACTCTTTCTTGGACAATCATGTCATAAAAAAGTTATGCCTCTTTGCAAAATATTATTGTGTTAATATATCACTAGCTTTCAGCAACTTCGTCCGTCATTTGATTATCCCACAGGAAACTAAATTTTTTTCGGAATAAAAAGTATCAAGTCTCAATCCAAATATGGCTGTAAAGTTCCATGGGGCAGAAACTTAAGATTTAGGCAGCGAGTGCGGTGTGAATTTACTGCATTTTGTGTAGCTAGGTTTGTTGTTAAAAGCCTTTTCACATTTTTTGCAAAAAATCGTAATTTTTGAGCGCCTCCTTTACTCCCTTAGAAAAGATTTTGACTATTTTCAATAGAAGTAAACAGTAGATTTATTCTTCCTTTTGTAAATTAATGTAGAATATTTGCAAATACTTTTTTTCTTTTTATGTACTGAGCATTCTACTGCAGCTAGTTTACGGAAAAAACGATAATATGCACAACTTTAAACGACTCAATCCCTCAATAATGTTCAATAAATTAGATCAAATTAATTACTAAGACATCAGAAATATATTTTTGTTGTAACATAATGTATTAGAATTTTGATTTTCCATCTCATTAATTATCAAAACAAACATCTAACATCCGTGAGTTTTCCCAAAAAATAGTGCAGGTTTACCTCGTATTTTGATATTGAATTAAATAGAATTACTCTCAAAAACTTTCATAAAACTAATCTGCCTTCATTGAACTATTGAAATATGTATATATTTTTATAATTAGTTCATTAATAAATATTTTAAAAGACTCGAAACATCAGCCGTAAAATGCAATTTATACTAGTGCAAATCTACCTACGCGCCGATCAGTACGGCGGCAGAGGCGCAATTTTGTAAAAGGGTTAGATTAAAACAAAAAGGGTAGATACGGCACTAGCCTCACAAAAGTGATCCGCACCAATTGTGGTCCACGACCCTAATCGCTTTAGTCACAACTTGACATGCAAACTACGTACATGTGAACGCCAAAAATAAATATTGCAAATATTTTGTGTTTATATGATAAAACAATCCCTAAATGTGTTTTAAAAAGTGCTCAAATTGCTCAAGAACTAAAAATAAAACCCACGGCATCACTTTTCATTCGTAAGTACTATAAAATATATTTTTTCATAAAAATTGTTGTTTGTTTTGAATCTTATTCGGTAGTGACGTCAAGTACTGGTCGCCAGATTGGTCGGTAATGCAGTGACGCGGATCTCGCCGTCGTTTGCGCTGCCGTTGAAACTTAACGTGCTGTTTCGTTCAGGTCGGTAATGCAGTGACGCGGATCTCGCCGTCCCGTTCGCGCTGCCGTGGGATCAGTTTTTGTTTGATGCAAGTATGAGCGTACCGTATTTACCCTTTTTGTTTTAATCTAAGGCTCTTAAACAAAACCTAGTGTTCGAGTCCCGTCTGCTTGATGGACCATGTGGAACTTATCTAGTATTTTTTTTAATTTAAACATCTAGCAGTTCAATGCTTCAAATAAAAATATTATAAAGTCCTAGAAAAATATACCGATAAAACAAATATAAATAGCTTACATCCGTGTTATCGTCGTCTTCATTGGGTCCTTCGTCATCAGAACTGTCATTTGCATTATCAGCTTGACCTTTTACTTCAGGACCTTCATCGTCTTCTTCGTTATCATCGCCTCCGCCGCCGCGGCGTCGTTTCTTTTCCTTATCAGAAGACCAAAGCACGCCAGAAGTAGTCTTCGCTTGTCGACGAATTACACTAAACATTTCTTCAAAAAAGGTTTTTTGCATGTGCTTTATAATTTGCTTTGGTTTTACTTTAAATTGAGTTTTATATTGTGAATGCGGTAGAAATTGAAATCTCATTGTTGTTTTTAATTGTCTATCGGGTTCTGTAACGATTTTACACTGCACATGAATCTTTTCAAGAACGTCAGCGACAGTAACTCTGTTGAGCATCTGTTTCAATTTCTCAGCTTTATTATACACATCCGGAATGTCAGCCCTGAGTGGTATGTCCATGTTGGGCGTCTTAAGCTTTGATGATGCAGTCATTAATATTTCGCGGAGGCGTGGGATACCTAGAGTGACGTTCATATCACCTCGACCGGCAAAGTGAAAAGTATTCAGTGTCATCTGAGTAGAAGGTTCACCTATTGATTGTGCAGCTAAAAGGCCCACAGGTTCTCCAGGAGCAGCCATTGATTCAAGATATTTAGCATTCATTACTTCTACGAATTTTCCCTTATCCGTTTTAATATCATAAGCATTCTCTGGTCTATTTTTTAGATAATTTTGTATAATATTATCTAATTGTTCATTTATAACACCAAATTTGTATTCTGGTGAATATATACTAGGAATTGGATCTGGGCAAGGTTTTTTGGTATATTGAGATTTATCATCTTCTTCTAATGATCGCCACATTTTTTCTAATTCCCAATAATATGGATCTCTAGTTTTATCCATTGGAACCTTATCGAGACTGATGTCATTTTTGGCTTGGGCCGAAAATTGTGAAAAAGCACTGATACGACGTTTTTCAAATGGGCTTCCGTATTTATTTTTCCACTTATTAAGTTTCTTATACAGTTTTGCAATCCTTTTTTCATCAATGTCTCTTTTAAGCTTTTTGACTGTTGATTTACTAACAACAGCGTTGGAGTTTTTGTCTAAAAATGGAAGTTGTTCACTTTTTAAATATTGACATTTCAACACATCTAGACCGTCTTCGCCATAAGCAAACTGGACGATGCTGCCATCGGAATCTCTTACAGTGTGATCATAAGCTACATTTAAACTTTCTAGGTGTTTTATCAAACATCTCTGTAAATACCCCGATCGACTGGTTTTGACAGCAGTATCAATAAGACCTTCACGACCAGCCATGCAGTGAAAAAAGAATTCTTGTGGTTGTATTCCAGTCATAAAACGCCCGTCTATAAATCCACCAGCTCTTGGAGAAATGTCGTATGGTGGGAAACTTGGAAGCGACCTTCCTGATATCATCAAAGGTGGCCTTTTACCTTCTAATTCAATTTGACCAAGTAAGCATGAAATCTGCATGGTATTGACAGTTGATCCTTTAGCTCCAGATTGAACCATCAACTGAAGATTATTATAAGGGAACTTTTCAAGTAAACCTTCTACTAAACATACATTATTTATATTATTAGTGTATGAATCAAGCATATTTTTGTATTGCCTATCTAAGTTACCCCTAAATTTTGGATCATTTGTGTACATTTCACCAACTGTTTCCTTTAATTCGCTATCTTTAACATCTCCTGGTAATTCTGTTGCTTTTAAAGCAGCCAAGCGTCCAGCTTGACGAACCAGACATACAATTTCTTCACGTTTTCTATTAGCTTCTTCAGTAACCAGAATATCTTTGACACCAAGAGTAAATCCAATCCATTGCAAATAAAATGTAAATACTTTTGAAAATGAACTTAATAGTGCACTAGAACTGTCACCTCCATACAATTCATACATGCAGTGAATTAATCCATAAGGTGTTGCACCATAGTGAGTTTTGTCTAATACACCAGACAAAAGTTCTCCATTTCTAATGATGACTTCAGCTTCAGACATCATGTCTGTATTGAGGAAGTTACTACCTCCTGCTTTCCAAGCTCTAGGAGGGTATTTCTGCCAAGCCTTTGAATTGATTTTAGCTTTTCCTTCTAATGATAGATAAGGCTTTCCTTTTGGTATACTGTTGATTATAATAGTTGACAAAACTTGCTTTCCTGACCACAATGTAACAGGTTTTAAAATAGTTGGAGGAAGAAGTTTAATTTCACCTCTGTGATTTGATAAAGCTTGGAATACTAACTGCTGGTAGTCTGATTTTGTAAAGAAAGTTCCTCTTAATGACATTTTCACACCAGATATGACATGATCTTGAATCAAGCCACTCAATGGTGTCCCATCTTTTGGGACAAGATACTGTTTTCTAACAGACATAATATTATAAGCTTCACTTCTAGCAATTTCATTTTGAGGAAAATGGGCATTCATTTCATCCCCGTCAAAGTCAGCATTGTAAGATTTGCAGTTGGCATAATGCAACCTTAGAGTTTTTTCACCTTGAAGGATTCTTGCTCTATGAGCCATCATACTAGGTTTATGCAAAGATGGTTGTCGATTTAGTATCATGACATCCCCATTTACCAAATGCCTATGCACAATTTTCAAACCTGAAGATTTATATTCATCAGGGGTCAGCAATCTTTTAGCAAGACTTTTTCTCTTTTGAATAGAGTCAGGAGGTATTCTTATAACTCTCCCTTTTTCTATTTCTAATTTCTCAGCACCTGGGTGCACATTTGGGCCATTGATGACCATTTTTCTTAGTTCATCAACATTCCATTCTGTTACTGGCACAGGATATGTAAGCTTTTTTGCAAAGGCATCTGGAATTCCAATTTCATCAATGTCTACATTTGGATCCGGAGTAATGACAGATCGAGCAGCAAAGTTTACCCTTTTGCCCATCATGTGCATTCTTATCGCACCAGTTTTTTTCTCTAGTATTTGTTTAAGACCAAGACTATTTGATCCTTGACCATCACAACTCAGAAGGTTATTTACATCTTTTTGTAAATACTGCCAAACTACATGTAATTTTTCAGGTGCAGAATTGCCAGGAACTCCTTCATAATGACTTCTTGGTTTTTGGTCTAAAGTGTCAATAGCGTTTTGGTGATCCGCTGATGATAATACTTGCAAAATGGCTCTCGCAGAAAAAGCAGTGTTGAGAATATTTTTATAAGCATTTGTTTGAGGATGCTCAACTAATTCACCTTGAAGTACATTACAAGGCCTCACACAGGGTGGAAGCACCGGTAGAACTTCCATAAAGAATACATCTGTAACTGGTTTTTGTTTAGAGTTCTTCAATACAGGTAGACAAGCTATAAGAATATCCTCATCATTTTCACAAATTTTACTTACAAATTGTTTAATTTCATCTGGCATCATAATTTTTATACCCTTCCCTAATCCATCTGCACTGGAATTATACATCAATCTACCTTCTGATGTAGTAACTTTAATAAGTTTAACTCTACAATACATACATTTTTTTGTAATGCTGATTGTCTTAAAGATATTATTAAGGATCTTAGATCGTAGCCTATCAGTATTTTTGCTATGAAATACTTCAGCGACAGGGTCAGTTTTTTTTAATATTTTTTTAAATTTCTTTATAATTTTGTTGGGTTTATTAGAGTTTTCGTCTTCAAATTCTTTGATTTCTCCTAAATCCAAAGCTTCTGTAACATGGCCGGCATCAATCAATTGCAACTGAAGTTTTAATATTGATTTCATTGTGTCATTTAGTTGAATTTTATAGCATTTCAAGCAACTTATTCGAAACAGTGTGTAAATATTTTTAAGAAAGAGCGGATTGACTACAGTCAGGGGCAACTCGATATGGCCGAAGTGTCCAGGACAATGGAGTAATACATTGTTACAAGTAGTGCAAGCATCAAACCGCTCTCTTACTGGGCCCAAGGCAGAATCGTAAAGACCACCTGGTGTTGGATTGCCCAAAGAATCAAATGATGTAGAATTTGTAATTTTTATAACACTTAACTTTTTAATTTCCTCATTATCAAACATCAGAAACTCCACAGAGCCAGGATCTACAGGTGTTGCTCCCAAAAGACTGGAGGAAAATGTGGTATTTGCAGCCATTTTGACTTTCTGTGGAGAATAAGAGTGTTTTATTGACAAATTCTTAACTGCACATACAATATAAAATAAAACATTGTATGTTATATGAAACAACTTACCAATTTTCCGGTTTGTTAGTGTTTTGGTAGAACTACTAAAAAAAGGAAACATTGATATATTTTTTTATTCTAATGTTATATGCATCTACTTTTCCACCTTCAAAGAAAGTACAAACTACGTAGGTAAATAATCAAAGTACCTAACCTAATAACATGGTACCATGTGGTTAGGTTATGTTATTAATGTCAATGTCAAATTGGTCATATTATTGTGTGCCAGGACATGCATTGCTATTCGTATTTAGCTGAGCTCAATGCAAACATACGACAGAGTGAAACTTATTGATAGTTTAATTTTGACATATAGTGTATGAAGCAACACCAATAGGGACACGAAAAAAGTATCGATACTTTGTGGTATCGAGTACTTTTCCTTTCGATACCGATACTTTTGTACTCGATACTTTGTATTCGATACTTTTACTAAATGAGTACTTTTTGGCAAGTATCGATACCTTTAAAAATTTGGATAAGCGCTTCATATTGATGGCAACGCCATCTTCTTAAATCATAGCAAACCTTCTAAAACGTTCCATAGGGTATATGACAAGTTTTAGGCAACGATCTCACGTTATTAACTAATGTTTATAGAGTCCGTAAAAAGTGGTTAGTCATCATTCTGTTGTGTATTTTAGTAAAAATAACCAAATCAAAAACTCCATTCTCAAATTGCCGCGAAAACGTTTGTCTGGACAATATGGCGTCTTACTAGTGTGTTACGTCACACGACTGTTATTAAAACGTCAAACGATAATGTAATGTCACTTTGACCGGAAGTTTACTTGCGTGTGACGTTAATTTAGGCTCCGCCAATCCCAAGCGTTTTGGGTTTCGTGACAATAGATAAGAAAACTCATATCTTTTTCGTTATTTTGGCACTTTATTTTTAATAGTGTCAAATGCCCTATTGCGTTGTTATAAAGTCAGTAACTGACATATTCAAATTCTTTCCAATCTGTGACTGTCTTTATTTTGCGCTTTGTTTTGTTTCATAGTTATTTATTTAGCGACCATATTGTTAGGAACTGTGATTGATTCGCCGTTTATTGTGCTTTTCGCTTGACTGTATTTGATTTATTCAAGTGTAACACTATTATTCTGTCTGTGCTGTGTATACCTATTTGAAACCACCTGAAAAAAAAACGAACGTAACCTCTTCTATAATTCTAATCTTGAGTGAAGCATGCCAATGGCAGCCGTTAACTACGTGTCAGATTCAAGTTAACATAAGTGGGTATAATGTTTTTTAATGATTAAAATTCAGAAAAGTAAGTTTAATTTGAAACAAATCTGAAAAGTTTCAAACTTTTAAATTGTTTAAGATTTCGATCTTTTTAATTAACATTTTAATTATGAATGTAATATTAATGAACACTTTTTTGTATGTATATAGCAATTTGTGAATTTACAAGAGTATTTTTTTTTTATTATACATACTATAATAAAATTCGATTGTTTTTCTTTCAATTTTAACACCGGGGGGGGGGTGGTTGCTCATCAGGCCACAGAGGCTCCGATAATGTACTCGATACTTTGAAGTATCGATACTTTTTTACCGATACTACTCATGAGTACAATTCGATACTTTCTATTCGATATCGTTTCCCTAAACACGAAGAGCAGTGTTGCCACCTTGGTGGTTTTTCCACCAGAACTGGTGCTTTTTCACGGCTTCTAGTGGTATATTTTCATTATCTAGCGGGTATATTTTTTTAGTGTTTTTTAGTGGTTTTTTAACATGAAATCTAGCAACATATTTGTAAGGGGGAAATCCCCTAACTTTCCGAAATTTCATAATGTTCTATGGTTACTCTTATGGTTACAGTGGAATTCCTGCACGCGTTGGCTGTTAAGGGCTTCCTTCAATCGTTCATTCTGTTTCAGGAATCAGGTTAAGTTCATTGTGTTGTTAAAAAGTGTAAAAGTTTGATTTGGTAGACACGTTTGTAACAGTGTGTGAACTCCTGAAGCTGTATGTTTAGAATATTCAATTATATGTTATTATGGAAATTCTATTCAAGAAAAAGAATTACATACAAAAGTATAGAAAACAATGGGAATCACTCGACGAATTCCAAACCTGGCTTAAACCTTAAGCAGGTGTTGATGCGAAGGCGTTTTGTTCATTTTGTAAAGCAGAATTATTAGCAAGAGTAGTAAATTTGAGAAGAAATGCTGAAACAAAAAAGTACAAACAAAAAATGCAAATTCTATCCGACAGTCAAATGATATCATTTAAAAAACACAAAATACTCTTTCAAAAATCCACTACAACCACAACCAAACATCTTCAGCTTCGACATTGGCTTCATTGACAGAAGCGTCGGCGTCTGTGAACGACGATGAAGTTATAGAAGATGTAACATTTAACAATATTGAATTTTAAATTTCACATTTTGTGTAAGAATTATTTCTTGATTTTAAATAATGAATGTAAATACATATTTACCTGGTTTTATTTCATTCTCTCGTACTACTAAAGTAACACTCGGAAAAGTTTTAAGTTAGTAAAAACAATATTGTCATTTTTTTTAAATAACAAGATTTTACTAATTTAAAACGACTGCGGGATACAGTTATTTCTGTAGCATCTCATACATATTCACTGATTTTTTATTTAAATTAGGGTTTTTTGTTATCAGTAATAAATATCATGTAATTGTAATTTAGCGGATTTTGGTGTATTTTTTTAAATCCAAATTTTATAAATCTGGCGATATTTTACCTCTGACTTGGCGCCTTAAAAAAATCCAAGGTGGCAACACTGACGAAGAGTCAAGTGAAGTACCGGCATAAACTTAAAAACAATAAAATGGTGTCAATTAAAGCATCAGTCTCATCATCATTTTTGGCATTGAGATTTTTTTAATATTACTGGGATATCCCACAATACATGTCATGTCGTAAATGTGAAAGTTTCTGTATGTGTGGTACCTCTACTGCTAAACTGCTGGACGGATATGAATACATGTCTATTTTATTCACCACGCCACGTGAGCACCTATATGTATATAAAGTCCTCCTATAAACAATTACACGCAGGTGAAATGGTGGGCAACAGCAGCTAGTAATAAATAAACCTAATAAAAAATAAATAACACGCCTTACACAATACAATGAACTAAAAAGTAAAAAATAACTATTATTTTTCGAATATGAAGGAATGTCGGTATATATTTTTTCAATGGAATAGGGGTACTTTTACAGACGTGTTTTAAGAAGTATTACAAAACATTGCCCCAACGGAATTGCAAATGTGGAGGTCCACATCAAAACGTTGCATTTACATCTTAAATGGTTTTACACAATTTGAGAAAAACGGATTAGTCATCAATGGCTGTAACTGCAAAATTGATTTGTATTTGTTTGCAGTGTCGTACAGATAAATTACTTTAACTCTAAGTAACTATAGTAATATAAGTTATTTACGGGATTGTTACCATGTACCTTGTTTTTACAAGCAATGTACCTTGTTTTGTTGCAAGCGCCATGATCACGGAGTTACTCCGTGATCATGGCGCTTGCAACAGTGCCGAAATATCGGAAACTCGCTAAAAACAAGGTACATGGTAACAATCCCGTAAATAACTTATATTACTATAATGTTAGTGACCATCTAAGTAACTATTTTGCAGTTTGGTTTGAGTGGTTATGGGTAGTCATGCTCTCTTAAAAATCTCTTCGGCGGTGTCGTGTGAGGCGGGTCGTTGCGTTCCCTAAAATATGGTTGAGCGAAGTGAAGGCTGGTTCATGCGTCATGCTCGTGAACGGGTGCTGCCAGCGGAGATGAGTCTGCTCTATACTACTTTATTATTGTAATGATAATTATTATTCAATTTAGATTGTATTTTACATTACACAACTTGTATTTATACTGTATGACACAGCAATCAAAATGTAAGTGAACATTTATTATTTATCTGATAAAGATTTAATGGCGGTGGGGATTCTGGTATGGTTTTCTAGACCTGAACTTGGTTTTGCAGCGGTGTATCCTTGTCATTCTTTATACAGACTGAAAGGGGGGGATGATGTTGGATTTGGTTTTGGGTTGGGAGAGTAGTGCCAGAATCGACAACAGTGTTTGGGTAATCACATGCATGTGTCCTGCCGTTATGTTTATGATCTAAAAAATGGTTGAGCGAAGCGATGGCTGGTTCATGCGTCATGCTCGTGAACGGGTGCTGCCAGCGGAGATGAGTCTGCTCTTGCTTCATTGGATACTATTAACCGTTGTGCTAAACTTTAATCGTTCATTTTTTTTGGCTAAACAGCAGGACACGGCATTCCTAAACTTTGTTAAACCAGTTTTTTATATAGTCATAATTTTTATTATATTAGCATTTGTAATGGAAAGTGACTTTATGAGTTACCTCATATTGAAGTCATTTTTCAATTTGACGACTCTGTATACAATACAGGGAGAAAAAAACAGCCCTTGCTGAGTTTCTTGCCGGTTCTTCTCAGTACAAGGTCTCCCGCCGTAGATTTGCAAACCGATGGCGTAGCTCTTCGACATTCACAAGTGCTTGTAACAGCCTAGACTGAATAAACGATATTGAATTTTGAATGCTTATAGCAATCTCTATACTCAGTATGGGGAAAAAGTTTATTAACGCATACATTAATTTAGGTCAATCATCATTTACTTTTATACTCATGAGAATTATTTATAAAAAAAAATGTTGCGTTTTGCTGCAACTAATTTTTTAATGTAGCGGTTTGGTGAGCCGTGAGACCATTGTAAAAATTTTACTTTTTTATTGTGATCTACTAACAGGAAATGGAAGGATGGAATCTTGAAAAGCTCAATTCTGCTGTCCCGAGGAAAAGGTATCCGTCATGCTAGCGTACATCACATCGAGTTCGAGGTTGTTACCTTTGTTAATAAATGGGGCGTAAATAGTGCCCAATAAGTATAATAATAAAAAAAACTTACTCCTAATTAAGGAAATAACAACAGTTTTCATGGTGTACGCTATCGTGACGATCAAGGTAGCGTACACCAGGCCAGGCCAATCTAGAAAACGGCTTATTGTTATGTATCCAAATTTCATTTTCACAGAAAATAGTGCTCTTATAGTGCCTACACTATGCAAAATTTCATAATCATAGCTCATAATGGAACAAAGATATAGAACAAGATATATAAATAACCTTTGGAGCTGGTGTCATGGTAGCCTACCCCAAATTGTGCATATAGAAAGCGAACTTCTCTTTTGATATATTATAAAAGTGGCATAAATAGTAAGTAACATAAATAGGTATGTTGAGCAGTGTTTTGTAAAGTTTTTTTTAATATAGAACAAAAGTTAAA